ATCTTCAGAATAAAAGCACCAGAAGTCCTTGTTCAAAACCAGCATGCTATGGGACAATGGTCTTTTATCCTGCCACTTGTATTATTTTTAATAAAATGCTGATTGGCCAGTAGCCAGGTAGGAAGTATAAGTGGGGCAGTGGCGACCAGGCAGGAAGTATAGCTGATGTAATGAGAATTCTGGGAAGAGGGAAGTTTCAATCCTCAGTCATCACTCAGAGAGAGAGAGAGAGAGAGAGAGAGAGAGAGAGAGAGAGAGAGAGAGAGAAAGCCAGACACAGAGCAAGCAAGATGTGACTACCTTGCCAAAAATGTTACCAAGCCACGTAGCTAACACAGACAAGAATAATGGGATGATATAAGATGTAAGAGAGAGTTAATAAGAAACCTGTGCTAATAGGCCAATCAGTTTATAATTAATGTAGACCTCTGTGTGTTTCTTTGGGACCGGGTGAGACAGCAACCTCGGTCAACACCAGCAAGTTCCCATCTATGTCATGTCCTGTGCCATAGATGGGGTTAATGAGCAGGGTGGTGGTGGCACACGCCTTTAATCCCAGCACTTGGGAGGCAGAGGTAGGTGGGTCTTTGTCAGTTTGAGGTAAGCCTGATCTACAGAGCAGGTGAGTGCCAGGACAGGCTCCAAAGTTACAGGAGAAACCCCATCTCAAAAACAAAAACAAAGAAACAAACAAAAGGTAGGGATAATGTCCACAGGGGAAAGCTTTTTATTTATTTTGGGGAGGGGACTATTTTGATGATTAGGCACTCATATATTGTTAAGAATGTAAATTTGGCTGGGCAGTGGTAGTGCATGCCTTTAATCCCAGCACTCAGGTGGTAAAGGTAGGTTGATCTCTATGAGTTTGAGGCCTGGTTTACAGAGTGAAGTCCAGGACACCTGGGGGTACACAGGGAAACCCTGTCCCAAAAACAAAGACAAAAACAAACAAAAAAACAAAAGATTGTAAATTAGTACAATATCATGGAAGAAAATATATGTACAACCACAGATTTGTTTTTCTTTTCTCTTTCTTTGCTTTGTTTTTTTTGCCATTGCTATCCACCCTATTCTCTACTTTCTTTTTTCTGAAGATATGTATTATATGAAAACCAAGTATGATAGAACATATCTGTAATCTTTGTGCTCATGATATAAACGCAAAAGAATCAGCAGCTCAAGTCCAACCTTGGCTACATATCAAGTTTGAATCTACTTTAGAATCATATATTTATAAAATAATAACAAAACCAAACAAACCAGAGAGAAAGGCAAAGGAGAACATCCGAGAATAAGAGAGATGCTATAATGACTCATTATGATATCCTCAGCAGTTCTAAAGAGAATGATGAAGAAGGCTGGAGACACAGCTCATGGTAGAGTGTGCAAGGCCCTGGGTTTAATCCTTAGCATTGCAGAAAACTGTGGTGGGAAGATGTATTCCCTCAGCCAGCACTTAAACAATTCAGTCTCCGTCCAGTCTCCACTGTAAACACTAGCATATTTTATTAAATCCACATACCTACCCAATAGGGAGAGAACCGAGGCACTGCGAGGTTGAGCAATTTGCCCAAAGTCACAGAGATGGACAATCTCTGGAATAGGAGTTGAACTCTAGGAGAGTGACTCCAGAGTTTAAAGTCTTTAGAGACGTATGTTGCCTTTTAGGGATATAAAAACCATAGCTCTGGTGCATGGAATGCAGACATGAAGCTCTGGCCAGCACTGCATAAACCAGATGTGGTATTGCATACATGTAACTCCAGCACTTGAAAGGTTAACAGAAGGGCTAAGGTCATCCTCAGCTACACAATAGGTTTGAGGTCCGCCTGGGCTACATGGGACCTGGTGCCCAAAAGAATCAAACAACAACAGCAAAACCCCATATATATGAAAATAATAGTAATAGTTGTTTATAGGGCCTGGGTGCAGATTAGTAGCAGAGAACTTGTCCATCACCTTGGGTTCTAGCTTCCCAAATGCAGAATAATATTTGCCATAGATAACTCTGGGTCTGAGTACACACACACATGCACTCATGTGTACTTAGTTTTGTCCTTGCCTTCGGGCAGGGTCTTATGTAGCCCACATAGATCTCAACTTCACTATGTGTCTGAGGATGACTTTGGCTTTTTGATCATCCTGCCTTCACCTCTCAAGTACCCTGTGTAGCTGGAAGCTTTTCTGTGTCCCACCCGGTCCCACAGTTGCTTATGAAATAATCACTCAGAGGCTTAACATTAATTATAATTGTTTGGCCATTGGCTCAGGCTTATTACTAGCTAGCTCTTACATTTAAATGAACCCATTATATTAGTTTATATTTACCACAAAGCTCATGGCTTGTTACCTCACATCTTGCTTCTCTAGCAGCTGCTGGTGTTGCTCTCAACTCTACCTCCTTTCTCCCTGTCTTCAGTTTGACTTTCTTGCCTTCCTATGTTCTGCCCTGATATAAGCCAATGGAGCTTTATTCATCAACCAATAAAAGCAATACATATTCTCAGTGTACAGAAGAACAACCCACATAAGCCCTGCTTTTCACTATTGTTGTTTCTAATGTGTGTGTATATATATGTGAATGCATGTGTGGATGGCAGAAGTCAATGCCCTATTTTATTTTAAAGTCAATGCCATCTTATTTTAAAGACAGGATCTCTCAGTGAGCTCACATTTTGACCAGACTGACTGGCCAGCAAGCCTCCAGGATCCAACTGTCTCTGTCCCACCAATGCTGGAGTTACAGGCATGCACTGCCACACCCCACTTTTTTTTTTTCTTAACACAGGTTCAGGCCATCTGAACTCAGGTCCTTGTGTTTGCACAGCAAACCCTTTACCCAGTGTGCATCTCTCTACCCCCTCATTCCATAACCCAGCTTGACCTTGTTGATCTCCCGCCTCAGTCTTCTGAACTCAGGGTTTGACAGTGAGCAGAAGTCAGAGACATTTGAAGGATAAGGACAGAATGTGTAGCTGTAGTTGCTGGGGTGAAGAGGGAGGAAAGAAATGTGGGCATCCTTAGAGAGCCCAGAAAGGTCCCTGATAGTTAGCCCGCAGGAGACATGACCTCTGTCCTACCCTCTAAAAGATGATCATTCTACTAGCAAGAATTTGCTGAGAAGAGCTCTAGGTGTCAACAGAGGCCCCGCCCCTTGTGAGACTGAGCACTGCGCTCAGTTAAGCCCACTGAAACTTCTGAGCTCCGAGACTGAGGATACACAGGTGTGGCTCCCATCATCTCTGTATGCACTAATAATGTGGAACACTGCACAGCGTCGATACTGCTGCAGAGGAAGCAACTGTGGCTCACATAACTAACTGGTTAGATTAGGTAGATTAGCAGCAAGAAGCAGTTAAGGTAGGATTTGACGTAGGTAGACATTCCTGCCTACATTGCTTGCAGATGATGAAAGAGAAATCAAGCACTCCCTGACTGAGGAAGGGGTGACTCAGATTTCTACATATTTTTAGACTCCAACATAAAGCTATCCCGCACAATAGCTTGGTTTTCTGCAAGGATGGGGTCTGTGGGAGTGGCCGTGTTGGCTTGTTAAGGTGCGTGACTAGTCTCCTTTCTAACTAAAGCACAAGGTGACTGGTTGTCTACCCTTGAGAAGCCGGATGGACATAGGTAGATCAGCAGCAAGAAGCAGTTAGGGAGACAAATGGCTGGTCTTATTTACACACTGAAAACACACATCACAGAGACCTGTCAGTTTTAAAAGGAGGAGCTATTGCAGAGTTTGTCAACTCCAGCTTGACCTGCCCACTCCTCGTTCCACCTTAGGGCCCTCCGCTCCCTCCCCTCCCGTCACAGGGTCTACCTGCTCTCCTTAAGTAGCCAAGCCTTACTAACCCAAGCATGGAAGGAACTAAAGTTCTTCCTGCCTTCAAATCTCTCCTCAAGAGGCACTTACTTTTTTATAAGATATGGAGTATGCACGTAGCCTGTGAATAGTGCTCACGGCCTGTCTTTATCACCTTGCCCTATTTTTCACATGTGTGGGGTTGGGAAGGGTGGTGCAAATGTGTCCACCCACCTGTGGGTGTCCGGATGCTGGCATCCCCCTCTATCCTCCACCGGAGTTTGTGAGACAGCTCTCACTGAACCTAGAGCTCACCACTTTGGCTAGACTGGCTGGCCTGTGAGCCCCAGATCCTAGGGTCTCCCCATTCTAGCACTGGAATTGCAGGTGCTTTGTAGATGGGTGGGTCTTATTTTTTTTTTTAATTCCAATACTAAGGGTTGCGCCTAGGGCTGGATGCCTGCAGACAAGTGCTCTGCTGCTGAACTACATTCCCAGCTCCCTGCTTAATTTTCCTTCCCTAGTATTTGACAGCCTGATACACTTACATGCAAAAATGTACAGAGGCTAGGGCTATAGCTTAGAGGCAGAGCCTAGCTTGCAGCATGTGTAAGACCCACAGGCTCCATCCCCAGCACCAAAAGATACATGATGGAGGAAGGTCATTGGCTAATAAAGGCACTGCCCTGGCCCATTTTATTGGTTAGAGGATAGGTGGGAGGAGTAAACAGAACAGAACGCTGGGAGGAAGAGGAAGTGAGGTCAGAGACTCCACAGCTCTGCTCTCTCGGGAGCAGACGCCTCAGAGAGAGACACCATGCCCCGCTCCCGGCATGAAGCTCCGACCCAGGATGGACTAGGCTAGAATCTTCCCGGTAAGACCGGTTCTCACAGATTATTAGAGATGGGTTGATCGGGATGTGAGAATTAGCCTGTAAGTGCTAGAGCTAAAGGGCCAAGCAGTGCTTAAAAGAATACAGTGTCTGTGTAATTATTTTGGGGCATAAGCTAGCCATGTGGGCGGCCGGGTGTGGGGGACGCAGCCCTGCCGCCCCATATTACTACAGATACATATGTGCATTATCAGTTAGGACAGAAGGAGACTTGTTTTTGTTGTTGTTTTAAAATTTATCGATTTATTTTTTATGTGCGTTGGTGTTTGCCTGCTTGTATTTCAGACTTGGGGTGTCAGACAGTTGTGGGCTGCTCTGTGGGTGCTGGGGATTGAACTCAGGATCTCTGGAAGAGCAGTCAGTGTTCTTCACCGCTGAGCCATCTCTCCAGCGCCGGGAAGGAGATTTGTAATCCTAGTGTGGAGGAGGTAGAAGCGTGAGAACTGTGAGTTTAAGGTCACTTTGGGCTATCTAACAAAACTCTGTCTAAACAAAATGAAGAAGGGAGACCAAGCCGGGGGCTGGGGGGAGGGGAGATGGGTGGGACTCATAGGTCCACGGTAGACTGCTTGCATAGGTGCTCAAGACTCCCCAGGTTTGACCTCCAATGCTGCAAGAATCAAAAGAAGGAAGGAACCCTGCAGCCAGATGTGCTGGAACACTCCTGCAGTACTGGCACTCAGGAGGGGGAAGTAGAAGGATCATAAATTGGAGGGTAACCTGTGCTCATAATGCATACCTTAGGGTTTCTATTGCTGTGAAGAGACACCATGACCATGCATCTGTTATAAAGGGAAGCATGTAATTGGGACTGGCTTACAGTTCAAAGCTTTACTCCACTGTTACGGCAGGAAACACAGCTGCATGCAGGCAGATGTGGTGCTGAAGAAGGAAACAAAAGTTCTACATCTGGGTGGGGCAGGCAGTAGGAAGGGAGAGAGAACCTTTGGTCCTGGTTTGAACTTCTGAAACCTCAAAGCCCACCCCCAGTGATGCACTTCCTACAACAAGGCCACACCTCCTAATAGTACCTCTCCCTAGGAGCCTATGGGGGCCACCACAGGGCATTTCAGAATGGTCTGGGCTTTATGATGAGACCCTGTCTTAGCAAGACAAAAAAAAAAAAAAAAAAAAAAAATCAAGCTACAACAAGAACAGACAGGCCAACAAAAGTAAGCCAAAGGGGATCCCCACACCTCAGGGGTCAGAAGTGTTCTTTCTGTGAGACACGAAAAGATGCTTTTCTTTCAACTAGTGATAAACACTAAAGGAGGAAATAGAAGACCGTGAAAGCACAGACGGTAGGAAATGCAGAGTGAACATTACCAGAGAAGACCTTCCTGAAGCATTTCCTTAGACGACGAGACAAAGCCACCAATCCCGGCAAAGGGGAGGGTGAGCAGGGATGGCTATTAAGATCTCTGGGTAGGAAAGGCCAGCCTACTGCAGCTCCCAGCAAGGTGAGCTGGGGTTAGCAACTGAGGAGACAGGTGAGCACACACACAAAATAAATAGGAAAAAGACAAAAACAAACAAGCAACTTGGGTGGTGGTGGCGCACACCTTTAATCCCAGCACTCAGGAGGCAGAGGCAGGAAGATCTCTGTGAGTCTGGGGCTGGCCTGATCTAGAAAAACCCTGTCTTGAAAAACCAAAGAAGATGACAAAGAAGTAGTCGTGGTCGTATCAGGAAGCAACAGATAATCCCTAAGGGCATGCCCTCCAGGACCCATTCTATCAATTCGGCTCCACCTTCTAAATTTTCAGTTCTTCCTAGTAGCCCATCAAACCTTGCTGCAGAGCCTTGGATCTGCCCAACCTCAGATCGACCTCTGAACCTGCCATACCGGACTAAGGCTTCTGCGTGAGAGCCCTGGAGAACGGTCCCCATCCAAAGCCTAACGCTGGTGCTCAGAGCACTTCGAAGCAACTAATTAGTTTTCATAATGATTGTTCTCCGTTGTTAATTGCCTGCATCACATTTTACAGGCCCTGGGGAAGAGCAGGTGCCCGTAATTTGCCTAAAGCCGTAGTAAATTGTCGAACTGACAGCAGCACCAATTAATTCCTGGAGTCTCGCGCTCTGCCAGTCTTTAAAGGAGCATTTACTTATCATGTTTATGTATGTGTTGGTGTGCACCACGCATGTGCAGCTGCTCTTGGAGGGCAGAGGGTGTTAGCTCCCCTGGAACTGGGCTCATGGGTTGTTGTGAGCTGTATGATGTGAGTGCTGGGAACTGAGCCTAAGTCCTCTGCAAGGGCAGTCGGTGCTCTTAACCACTGAGCCACCTCTCTAGCTCATCCCACCCACCCCCGTCTGCACTTTTTTTGAGACAAAAAAAAGTCTTGTTATGGAGTCCTGGCTAGCTGGAACTCATGGATATCTGACTCCTTAATACTGGGAATAGAGGTGTGTGCTAGCACACTGGGTTTTTTAGTGGTGGTGGTTGTAATGGTGGTGGTGATTTTTAAACGAGATAGGGTCTCTTTGTAGCTCAGGCTATCTCTGAACTCACCATCTTCCTGCCTCAACTCCCGAGGGCTGAAATTACAGGCACACAGCACCACATCCAGGTCTGATCCTCTTCAGAAACCCTTTTGGTTAGGAAGGGGAAACTAAATAGCATTTCTGGTGAGAGGAGGGCATGGATTTTTATAGACCTGGCGTCGTGTTTTGACATTGCCTCTTGCTACGTATGAGACACGGGCGCATACATAACAAAACATTCCTAAGACTTGGAGTGAGGCTCAGTGGCACAGCGCCCGCTAGCAAGTACCCGGCCCTACATATGGTTTCAGCACCAAAAAGAGGGCATACTCCGGAACCTCGGTTTGCTTGCTTGTTTACGAAATACTCTTCTTTTTATTTGTTTGTGGATTTTGTGGGTCGCTATCCTTGATTTTGACCCCCAAATGCATGTAAAAGTGGAAGGAGAGAAATGATTCCAAAGTTGTCTCCGTGACTTCTACATAAATGCTGATGTGTGCACACCTATATTCTCTCTCTCACACACACACACAATACTAAAGCATAAAAATTTGAAATATAAATTTTTATTTTAAATAAATATTTATTTTTATTATATATGTATATGCTTGTATATTTGTTTAAATAACTATATAAAAAGGCCAGGAACAGGGCTGGAGAGATGGCTCAGTGGTTAATAGCATTGCCTGCTTTTCCAAAGGTCCTGAGTTCAATTCCCAGCAACCACATGGTGGCTTACAACCATCTGTAAAGAGGTCTGGCGCCCTCTTCTGGCCTTCAGGCATACAGACAGAATATTGTATATATAATAAATAAATAAATAAATAAATAATTTTTTTTTTAAAAAAAAAGGCCAGGAGCAGAGTTGCATATCTTTAATTCCTTTATTTCAACACTCAGGAAGCAGAAGCAGGCAGATCTCCATGACTTCAAGATCAGGCAGACCTACATATCATATTACAAGCCAGCCACATCTACACAATGAGACCATATCTCAAAAAAGTAAAACAAAAAGCCAGGTGGTGGCAGCACACGCCTTTAATCCCAGCACTCAGGAGGCAGAGCGAGGTGGATCTCTGTGAGTTCGAGGCCAGCCTGGCCTATTAAGCGAGTTCCAGGACAGTCAGAGTTGTTACACAGAGAAACCCTGTCTCAAAAAACCAAAGCAAACCAAAACAAAACAGAAAAAGCAAAATTAAAAAAAATAAAAAACATGTATAGGAGTTCTGGGCTTAGTGATCACATCTTTAATCCCAGCATTTAGGAGGCAGAAGCAGGAGGATCTCTGTGAGTTTGAGGTCAGCCTGGTTTATAAGAGCAAGTTCCAGAACAGAATTCAGAGCTACAGAGAAACCCTGTCTTGAAACGACAAAACAAAACAAAACAAAAAACAAGAGCCGGGCGGTGGTGGCGCACACCTTTAATCCCAGCACTCAAGAGGCAGAGGCAGGCGGATCTCTGTGAGTTCAAGACCAGCCTGGTCTACAAGAGCTAGTACCAGGACAGGCTCCAAAGCTACATAGAAACCCTGTCTCGAAAAACCAAAAACCCCACAATGGGCTGTTGAGTGTCATGGTTATGAAGACAATAGCTAGATACAGTGTAAGAACCAGTGTGGGATCACTAGCAGTAGCAGAAACTGATGAGAATCAAGTAAAGTTTATAGTCCACCTAATAAACTTGCATCTGTGTTGACTTCCTGGCTTTCATCATCAAACTCTAGTTATATAAAATGTCAGCATTAGGGAAGGACGGCTAGAGAGGACTCTTTGAACTCTTTGATCAGGTTTTACTGAATATTTGCTTCTCCAGTTGCTTAAAGGAGATGAGCGAGGGTGATAGGCTGAATATGATCTAAACAATTCTATACCTGCATGACAATGTCATGATGAAGGCTATTATTACCGCTGCTGTCGTTGTTGTTATTGTTTTGAAACACATCTTGCTCTGTAGCCCAGACAGACCTTGAGATTTCAGTCATCCTACCTCAGCCTCCCAAGTAACAGCAGCCAGGCCCTGCTTTTAGTTTGACACAAGGTCTTGACCTGTGACCCAAGCACTGTTACGTCAGATGTGTGTCTCCAGATCGAATCAAGCCGAGCATGGACTCCTTCTGCCCTAGGTAACTGTGGTGGTCTGCTGAGCAGTTAAAGTCCCCCCAGTCCCTTGGCACGTGAGACTTTGGCTTGCTGGGCTCACTGCCTTTGTCCCAGAAACCTGGGGAGAAAAGACTCCTTTTCCAAGCCAGGGCTCAGTTCTCTGTTTCAGGAGTGGTTTCTTTTTTTTCTCTAAACAAAAATAGAGGCAAATGTGTGCTATACAATCAGCTAGTGCGCAGAGCAGGGACCCCAGCTTCCTGTCCGGAGGAAACACGCAAACAAAAAGTATTGGTGACTCAACTCAACGAGAGAGGCAGCAAATACGTTAACCAGCGCGACTGGGCTAGAGGGGGAAGGGAGGGAGACGAGAAGTCGATTCATAAAGTCTGGTTCATTTGAAAAGGAAAGTCACATGCTACGAGATTGGGATTTGTGCTCGCTGTGCTGAGCTGAAGTCCGGAGCCTTTGTCGTCTCAGGGGTGACTAAGCCATTATTTCATCCCGAGCACAAAGAGCTCTTGCTTTGCATGCCCCTCACTGTAATTAACTCTCGCAAGCAGAAGATGAAGAATTGAACCTGAGAGGTCTTTGGCTACCGGCCAAGCACTCGGAGTTATTTATTTTATTTGGGCTAAGGAAATAGAGAAGGAGGGGTCTACTTCGTGGGTCATTTGCTGCGATGGCAGTGCAATGAGATGATAATTGTGTGTTTTTCTGTTGGAGGGCAAAGGGGATTTCATTCAAGAGCCCCGTGGGGCTGGCGCATGCCGTCTTAGCTGGTAGTGTGCTGGTGAACATTTAACCAACAGCTTGGAGAGGATGGAGAAG